ATGAATCAGAACTGTCTCCATTTCGAATGGTAAGAGTGAGGTGATAAGGGGAAACAGTTGATACCAACGAATCACAACTCGTCCAAACACGCCCTTTTTCCCCTTGTGCACGTACAAACGCATGGCTCCTATATGAGGCATTTCGCACTAGGTGTTTCTTCTATTTTTCTCTGTTTTCATTTTGTTCTCCATCATGTTGAGTATTTGAGCGGCACATGACCATTTTTGAGTGCGCGGCGTGCCTTTAATTGACGAACCATATACTTTGAAGTAGTCTTTTCCATGGTACTCAATCATGGGGAACAAAAATCCGTGTGCAATTGAGATGGATGACAGGACTCTTGAAGCACACGACTTTGGCTTGTTCCAAGTTTTCTTCATTAGTGTGGCAGAAAATGATTTATGATTTATGATTTATTATCGGCATTCTATTGACAGTGGCACACATAAAAAAGGAAACACAGAAAAAATCTCCGATAATCAACCTAGAACTCAGTGGGAAGACAGCATAAAGTGTTGCGGTGTAGAGGGGGTAATCAGTGCAGAAGGGCAGTGGCCGCCAACACTGCAAGTCCATCCACGCATCAAATAGGACTCCGGATACCAACTTAGTAGGTCCGCCAACTTTACTGAGACCCAGCTCCAACAGCCGCAAGCAAGGATTAGCAATGGGGTGCAACTAGGTAAGAAATATACATCTTGATAGTAACACAAAACACATTCAATGTAAGGCGACTTAACACACAGTCAAAAATACAACAGTACAGGAAATAGGAATACAAAAATCACTTAAATGCGTGGACTTACTTATCACTTGTCAGTGGATTTCGGATTTTTTGTTCGATATCCGGGTCAAACTCGCATTTTAATGTTACTTCGATTCAGAGATGATACAGGTGCGTGGCGCATCAGGAAAAGGTAGTGGGAACGGTGGTCGCTGTGGATTTCACTCCCTTCTTCTTTGTGTGATTTGATCTTCTTTGTGTTCACCCGTTCTGAGGAGTTTGCACCAGAAGTTCACTTAAGTTCACCTTGGCCACGAATGAAATTCTGTGTGGATTGGCTGTCGATTTTATTGGAGGTAATAAATGCTCTAAGCAGGACTCGCAACCGGGAATGATAGCCTGGAAAACATCTCATGCAAATGCCTAATTCCCAAAAACAACTCATGCATACGTGCATATTTCCTCAAAATTACATACTGGATGTCATTCATTGTTGCTTTGTTCGTGGGTATCATTAGGCATTTATGAGGCATGCGTCATGGAAATTTATCTGACGTTCCCCCACCACTGAAAACATTCCTGAATTGTCAGGTTAACTTGGATCCAAGATATGACATAGGGCATGGGGCAGGAACACTATTGGTGGATGGCAAAAAGACAGTACCTGGTTACGATCAAGGCAGATAAGAACTCAACGCTCGTCTGCATTCATGCGCCTGTCGAGGACACAGTGGAAGTTGGCTCATCAGGTATCTAGGTAATGTGGCGGGATATTATGGCGGGTGTAGAGAGGGATAGAAGACGGACAGGTGTTGATAAAAGCATTGCCCCATCGTTCTTCTTCAAGGTTCTACATTGTTCACACTAAGAAAGGGCCAGTGATATGGACATTGGTGACAGGCAATTATATCAGCTGACAAGGGATAAATAAGAGCTTACCTTTACTTCCCTCCTTACCACCACTATACTTCTAAGTATCGGGTATTGCAGACTAAGTCTATGGTAAAGTGATTCCTTCACTGTCGAGCGGCGGGAGCGGGGGCATAAATAAGAGCGCTGAAAAGGAGTAATCAGAAGATATCTCAATCAACAACAATGATTTTAAAAAGAGTCATATCGCTTCAAATTTAGTCAGACTGCGAGAGTAATCACGTCAAGCTACGAGTGGGAGGATAGCTGCGTGGGTAAGTTTAATGTAAGGACCCAGTTCATGATGCGACAGTTGCACGCCGACATTCGTCTGACCTACCAGATGTTTGGATAGCTCCCCACTATTCTCATTTACTCTTTACCTTGCCATTTTGTGCGATTTCCAAACAAATAGAAATTGGCTCAATCATTATCATCGCCAGTAAATCACCCCGCATGGCTTTATCACGTTAGCGTAGTTAGGTGCGCCACCAGAGTGCTCAAGTCCAAAAGGGGCCAGTTGCGCATCATGATGTCTTATTAATGCCAACCCATCCATACATCCAATGTCCCAAAAAAGTACGATAGTCTTCTCCTTCAATATTGCGGAGGGAATCTTTCCATCCACACTGCCCTCAGACATACAGCACTTCGCTTTATTGCAAGGCTAACTTCGACACCAAAGCCAGAAAACCTTCTGTACTTCAATTCTGGATGCGTGTGTCACAATGTCAATGGAGACCATTTGGTATACTCTGAGAGCGTACTAACTGGATGGAAGAGTCTGTAATGTAGCGTGAGTCTAAGAACATAAGGATCATCAACAATGTGTTGTCATGGAATTCGCGGTGCAAACGTAGCGTCATGTTCAAATATTCCTGAAGATTCCTTTATTAATGAGGCGTCACCTCGTACTAATATAACGGCTGATTGAAGCCACCTAGTTCCCCCATATCATTCTATTGAACTGGAAATGAATGGCACGTCTAGGGTGCAAACAAGGTACACATTTGGAGGGAGGGCACACCGTTCGTCGTATAAATCACAGTGGAGGGGGTCGTATTTGGCTGCTTGGGAGGTGAGGGAATGGATCGACTAAAAAGAAAACAATCAAGGGTAGAAAGCAGTGCGCTGGTCTCATTCCATGCCTTCTGACATCGCTCCGACCGACCTTTTACTTAATATATCAACTACATCTACGCGTGTCTTCGCGATGATTAGCCAAGTACCAATGTTGAGGAACATGGATGATGGCGGTCTCACTACCTGTCTTCACTTAATTAACTTCGGCCGCTGAAAAAAAGATTTGGGGAGCTTAGGTCTGTTCCAGGTAAGTCCCATCAAGACCACAGCATTTCCTTCTCGGTAACTAAGTCGAATATCATTAAGGCTTGATACCGACGTGTCTGATCGAAATGCTCGTTGTGCTCGTGGGAGGTAACGTAGAAAACCTACTTGTCATTCCCGCTGATGAGGTTGTAGAACCACCTATTTGGGTGCTTGAGGTGGAGGTCTGGATGCGCTATGCCTACTCAGCGACAAATGCCAGGCGGGACGAGATGTCCACCTCATGGATCGATTGTCTACTGTATGTTGACTGGATGTGAGAGCTGCAATTTCTGCAGAATGCCGAATTATCGGACCTCCCATCACATTCAGAATCTTCGCCTTTCTTGGAACTGGAGAACCAGAGATGGTTGGTTTTTCGACAGGCGCAATTATTTCCACCGATGAACCAGAAATTCATTAAGGCTGAGGGCAAATATTATTAAGATTATGGGCACTATTTACCCTTTACTGCCCCAATCTTCCGAAAACAGGCCAGTTTTTGACCGACTTTTTTCTGCGTTGGCAGAATTGGCTGAAAATTTGTCTCCTGGGGTAGTTTGACCTACTGAACATGAATATCACATTTGCTTGGCGCGAGACCTGCTGGCGCCCGCGCCACGGGCGCCGGCGCCAAAATACCTTAAATCACCAAATTCGCTGAAAACTTGTTCTCAGGGGTAGTCTGACCTCCTGAACACGAATATCATATCTGCTCGGCCTGAAACCTCCTGGCTCTCGCGCTACAGGCGCTGGCGCCAAAATATCCCAGACCACCGCGCCCGTGGCGCGGGCGCCAGGAAGTCTCGGACTAAGCGAGTGTCATATTCGTATTCAGGAGGTCAAAATACCCCAGGAGACAACATTTGAGTCCAAATCTGTCCACGGAGAAAAAAGTCGGTCAGAAAATGGCTCAATTCTGGATAGTTGGGGCAGTAAAGGGTAAATAGTGCCAGATTATGCACTGGTGGAAACTTGGTTCCACATGGCATCGTTCACTGCCAGTAAACAGGGAGTCCATCGCTGTATTGGATAACTTATACAACGGCTTGCCCCGACAAGTTACTTATAAGCCATATCGCATTGAAGGAGCCGCTACGTTAGTGGATAGGATGTAGAATGCGTGCCGCAACCCAACAAAGGTTTCACGTAGATGAGACGCTCATAAAGAACACGTAGATGAGACGCTCATAAAGAACACTGTTGTAGGAGGAGATGCATCTCTTACTCCAAAAAAGGGTAATTCTCGATCAGCGTGGAGAATATTTGGTTTGTGGTGTTCTCCTGTACAAATGGGCCAGCAGTCGAGTAAGAAACAGAAATTTTGGAAGGTTCATTTTGAGCGGAAGAAGAGAGCTTTTTGCTCACAGGAAAGTCAAATGACCTGCCATTTTATGAGCCTTCAAAAAAGCTACTTCAGGCTGCCTCCTTGCCGTGAACGCTTTCGTTCACATAGTATGTCTGTTATTTGAATTGGTGAATGTAACATTCCTTCTCTCGAACCGACAACCTACCAGGCGGCTCTGCTATTCCATTATAGCACCATACATTCTTGCTATATCTCTTCAAGCTACTCTGATCCTGTTAACAGCAATCGACTTATTGATCGCACTGTTATTTCCAATGTGGTATGTTTCATTACTACTTCTGGGCAATCACATAAGGGGCGGTCAAAACTCCCGATAAAGTCAAGACTTCATGCTACGTGGAAGGTAGGGGGAGGCTGAGCAACGGAGAACATATCGCATCCGCTGATTTCAGTCCTCGCATTATTGCACAGAAACACTGCATGCATTAATCATAATACTGTTGCGCTCGCAGCGTTTTCTACCAATGATTATTTTCTTACTGAACCAGTTAGTAACCGGCCATTGTTGATAGAAAAGGCAGTTGGGATGGGTCATCCTCACCCTCCTGGTACCGCCTCGTCTGATTGCGACGACATGAACGATAGTGTGTTTGTATTCCATACCAATATAATGTACACATTTCAGGCATCGCGTAGTCTCAACGACAAAGTATGTTTCGACTTTTGTCCTAATGGGTACAATTTATTCAGCTTCGTTTACCATCTGGGGCTGGATTGGTCGAGACAATGAAGTGATACCGTTCTGCAATCCTCCGCTAGGTAGTGAACCAGTTTTTGGTGTGACTTGAGTGTTTATACTGTGTATGATATTCATTTCCTTATTCAATTTCATCAAAGGCGAACTGTACACTCACCTCTGAGTAGAAGCGTTTTCGTATGCGGGGTCAATGGATTGCAACAGGAGAAGCGTGCTACTTTCTCCGCTCAAAAGTGCACAGAGAGAAGGCTCTAGGGACGTGACCCTGGTGCCGTCTCTATAATCCACCCGCGCTATCCTAAGGATACAGCATTTGCGTTGATATCGGAATCGTGGAGTTAGAGGAAGAGAAGAAGAGGGCGTGAGAGGGCGCAGACAAGTAGCGCTATGGTGGCGTGCGACTGGTCGCGCGGAGCGGGGACCGAGTATGAATGGGCATACGGGTATCAATAAGCTGTTGCTACGCTTTTTGACCGAAGAAAGTGGCACGATGCTGCAGCTACGGACTTATTCATCCCGGCAAGGATCACGGACTTAAATATATGTGAATGTATTTCAGGCCTTGCGCCGAACGTCTCTCGTATCTGGTCTATCACAAATGTGATCATCAACACTGTAGTTGTCTTTGTATATGCAGTTATTATCGTACTTGTACGCGTCAAAGGTATCTTGCTTCACTGCTTTCCCATGTTTCCACCGGTAACTAGATAGTAGGCCTCACTGTGAAATTCGTTTAAGCGGAATTCCTCGGCGTACCGCGAGAACCAAAAGGCGATTCGGCGTCTCAAGGTCATTGTGATAATTTTTGTCTGCTCCTGGTATATGGCGATTTTAGGAGTGAATTTCGGCTATA